CTTTAACATATATGGATTTCAACTCCCAGAATTCCCAAGCTAGCAGTTCTGAAAGTTGAAGTCCATACATCTTAAAGATGCCCAGTTTGAAAAATACTGATTTAGACTGAACTGTGCTAGTCATCTCTCTTTTGCAGACTAAATCCAGCTATATTCATTCCATAAAGATATAAAAACTATTAACATATGAAAATAAAAAGCATTTCACAGAAGAGGTCATTTGTTTTTCATCTTAGAAAAGAAAACCTATCTGCAAGAGAGGCCTAACAGTTCAGACTTCCTCTCTTGAATATTCACATTTAGCAAGGTCATACTGGACAGCTTAGATTTTGTGGGGGAAGAAGCATTGAGATCAGCATATACATCTTGAACTTCTATGTGTGATTAATGCATGATGTTATTGTTGTTGCTAACATCTATACATTAGAAGTGACTCTTTTGAATTGGGCCTTTAGAGTCACACAGAACATTAACCTGTACATTTGGGCTGGGAAAATTTGAGCCAGAGTCCCTCACCTGTGGCTAAGTTAGTATGAGTCACTTGGAATTGGTTTTAAGGACAGAATGGGCATCTTAATTTTAGGTGAAGAAATGATGTCAAAGGGAACCTTTAAAAAACTGGAACTTCCTATGTTATCACTTGGAAAGATTTTCAGAGGCAAAATACTGTAGCTGCCTTGATCCTTTCTTTGCCCCTAAAAATCCTAAAGGGCACTCCTTATAACTCAGAATACCCCATTCCTTCTCTCACTTTGCAGGAGATCATATTGTGAGAGCCCAATCCTGAGTATATAGGTCATAGCATGTTCCTCAGGATCAGTTGCCCACATTTCACTTTGAAACAGCTTATGTCTGTAGCTTTCCTTAATATGATAACATTTCTACTTACTTAGATCGTCAGATTGTAAATTATTTCAAGAAGTTTCAATTGCTCTTGACTTGTCATTTCATAGTAAGAATTTTATATTGCATTTAGGGAAGTGAGCTAGCAATGTTTATTTTCTAAAAATTTCAATTAAAAACCTGTTCAGACATTCCCTTTGCATCTTCAATCCAGTACAGAAATGGTGATCAGTCAATTCCTTCTTCTAAACATACTAGTGATATACGCTAATTGAAAGGATAGTCTCCTTGGTTAGAACATAGTTATTTGCTGCAGGAAGCTATAGAAAGAACATTGGTAGTAGAGAATGCCAACTAATGTTGAAGTGTTTGCATTTTCTGGAGGATTGTACAGTACTGTGTTGTAAGCAGAGATATTTTGTAATATCAATTATCAGGACAGCTAAGACTTGAGGAAATCATTCTGTGCCCCTGCATTAACTTGACTAGATAAAGAGAATGCCTGACGGAGACTTGCTACTAACTCAGACCACTTGAGACTCACAATCTCATAGTGGGTACTACAGAGAAATGCATAGTTTTGTGACTAGTATTGGGGGAACCTTTCACTAAATTATTAAGTGTGAAAAAAGGAGGGATAGAAATTTTAAAAATCTCATTAATTTGTGTCTTAAGGGATGTTGACCCAGCTTTAATTTGGCTATTTATTAATAACATATTTCAAAATTTATATAACAATTCTAGAACAAATAATTTATTTATCTATATTTTATTATATTTTAAAAGCTCCACTACCAGCTGTTCTGATGTTCTGCTGGCAAAAAACAGACAAACAAACAAAACAAAATGATTTTTTTTCTGGAAGATTTTTGCATTATCTTCCTACTCCATTTTAGGAATACAAAAAAGAAAAGAAAAGAAACCATGGAAAGACATTCATAAAATCATTTATTTGCATGAATGGTCAATGCATAATGATTTGTTGTCATCTGGAACAATTGCAGGGTTATTTATATAGGAGCTAATTCATTTGTGGAATTCTTTAGCACAAGTTCTGACTGTGGCCCATAAATTGAATAGCTTTGAAAGGAAAAAGAATAGATCTATAAAGGACTAAGTCTTGAAGACTTCGCCTTACCTCTGCATTGGATATATGTCTCCAAATGCAGGAGAATTGGTGAAAAAAAAATATGTTTCCATCTTTTGCTGGTGAGCACCACAGTCATCTGGTAAGCCACTGTAAGAAACAAAATTCCAAGTTGTGATCAGAACCAACAAGGCTTCTGTTACGTATTATGTCTTAGCTGTGGTGACCTTTGAGGAGTTCTATAACTCTCTGAGTAATTCATTTTGAACAAACATTCCTGTAAAATTATTTTAAAATACATTAAATTAGCAGCACAAAAATTATTAACATTAAAAAAGTCAACAATTGACCACTGGCACGAAGTTTTATGCACATATATGGCATTTTAAATTTCATCAGAGTGTAGAGTCTCACAACTACAAAATGGAGGTCTCTAATTTTAATACTTAACAGTTAAAACACTAGCTGTTAAAATCTCAGGTCAAAATTATTTAGCTATTATCTGATTTTATGCCATCAGCTATAAATCTTAGTGCTCTATTACCTTTGCTTCTGTTTTTTTATGTAATATATATAACTGTCTGATTGGATAGTGTGCAAAACAATTTTAAAAACTGGTAATTACATTTAATTTAAATAAAACAAACTGGCCCAGGCCTGGAACTGTGATAAAAGTTTTGAAGTCAAAATGTTTAATTTTTTAAATAGTAATTTTATTATAGATTACAATTACATCAGTAAAAAATAATAAAGTACAAACTATAAAAAAGAAAAAATGGAAGGGCTAGAAATAAACAATATAGTAAAGAAAAAGAAAAGAAATATATGAAGTAGTTCCCACTTCCCACATTCATCATAACAAGTATAAACTATTTTACCACTTTCTTTTAAAATACATCAAGTGATCACTTCTTCCCAGATTCCATTTCTTATGGAGTCTATAGGCTATTGTTTAAAAATGTACTTCAGTATATCCAACTTTAAAATATTTTGCTTCATTCTGTAGTTGTGAGTTGGGTTTGAGTCTTCAGTTTCCCTAAATCCTTGTAATGTCCAATTTTAAAGTCTTGTACAGTTTTTTTAAATTTTTTTTAAAACAAATGCATAATCCCATGGGTAGCACTTGTTATGATTAGTTCCAAAATCTTATTTCAAATTTACCTGGACCTTAGTCCATTTGTAACTTTTTAAAATCAAAATTTCAGTTGCCCTTTTGCTGTTTATTTTTTCAAAACTTATATTTAAAACTTTTTTCACTAAGGACTGAAGGAAACTCACCTGGTGCATAAAACATGTTGATCCAAAGGCTCTTAATAAGTGAGAAGCAGTTAACAAGCAATTTCTGAAAGGATTAAAAAAGGAAATACTATACAAAATCAGGGTCCTTTTAAAGGTGCTGAATACAGTTTGAGCAAGATGGGTATTTGTTTGTCTACCAGACCTTTAAACCTGCCAGAGACTGTTATCTTGCTATCTGCTTCTGACGAGCAGCCATCTGGAGCACTTACGAACAATCTCAAGTCCTCTACTTATCTGGAAAGGAATTATTGAAAACCCAGTCTATCCACTGGATCTTTATTTTGCTGTGGTTCTTGGCTCCATTTTTTGCAGAGCCGTCTTCAGTCTGCCATTTCTTCTCTGGATGTCTTAATTTTGAATAATTCTAGATCTCACTAACATTAGAAAAAGTATTTTCAACTATGAAAAGGCAGTTAGTGGGCTCTATTTGCCATTGGAATATGTCTGGTAAAGTTAGAATATGAAATAAAATTTGGATGAAACATTTAAATTTCAAGACATTTTGTATATATTTAAAATAGTATTTCCTTTTTTTTTAAGGAAATGAGATTATAAATGTTTAGAGGTACATGTAGATTAAATAAAAAAATAGTTTATCAGTCAGAGATACTGTTAAAATCTAATTGATTATATGCCATCAAAACATTTTTTACTATCAGCAGTCACATATTCTCCATGATGTCAAAATTTACCAGTCCTCAGAAAATTATTTTGCTGAAGTTTGTTTTTTATTTGAAAGAATATTCCTAGTGATCTCCATAGGAACTTACTATCCAGAGCTAAGGAAAAGCTGGAAGAATGTTTTCTTTCAGGAGTACAATAATAACCTCCATCTATAATATACCTAGTAATTATCAGTCTTTGCTTTATTTCCATTGTTAAATCTTTTTTTTTCAAAAGAAAAAAAAACTTAGATTGTTATTATATGTCGATCCAAATCTTTCTATAGAAATTGAAATCCCCAGCTGAACAATGCCTATAATACAAACAGCCAAAATGGCACAAAATAGTGGGTAAAACTGTTGAGTTTTTGTGAATTCGTCAATAGCCAACAAATTATAAAAAGTGGGAAATGGGGAAATAAAGAAATTCATAACAAGTCCAGATGCTTCCTGAAGTCTGCAGTGCAAAATCAGTCTCAAAATGAAAATTACAGAATAAATGTATTTGATAGCATGTATTAATGTTAACTTTCATCTAGCTGTCAGGGAGAAAAGAGGCTGGTTTACTTCTACAACTCAGAGAATACAAAAGCTAGTAGTTCTTATTTTGTGCTTTGTCCACAGGGATGTAAGAGCAAAAATAAATATTTGAAGTCTGTATATTAGCAAAGCTGAGAGAAATTTATATGGGTAAACCAAACTGCATACTGGTTGAAGGGCTTGCAAACTCAAATTACTTTGCCCTGGGTTGTTGAAAACCTATTTCTTTGGAGACACCCTTTTCTCTTTAAGAGCTCAGGGTGGGGAGTTGCATTGGTTAGGGCCAGCCAACATGGAATTAATTAATTTGCAGAATTCATATATTTTCATTTCCTAAAATAAGATGTGATTGTATGTTTTTCCTATAGAATATAGGTCAAATACACAAATATCAGTCTCTAAATGAAAAGCTTATAAACTCTGTAAAGAGTATATTTAGAGTTCTGCTGTCACATAATAGAGAAGTTTATTTATTTCATACTTTTTATTATCTATTTCTATTCTAATGAAGATCTCTTTATTTGAGTTAATCTGAACTAAACTCTCACCTTTTTCCTTTTCCTTTATAGATTGGCAGATTGCTACCCTTTCTATGCTGTTGGGTGGTGCTGCCATAATTCTTATAGCTTTCTTGGTTGGACTAATTTCTATCTGCGTGGGATCACGGAGGAGGTTCTACAGGCCCGTAGCTGTCATGCTGTTTGCAGCAGGTAAGTTAACGGCCGTTCTGAAATATGTACAACATTAGATAGCTGCTACTTTCTCAAGAATAGAGATAAAACATCTCTGATAATCCAAAAATAATTCTTTCATTTCAGATTGTTCAGCTTTTGTTTACATGGCCAAGAAATCCCAAGATTTTCCTTCCAGGCCAACTCTTTCTATCATTTAAAGTTTGAAGAGCATTCTTTATCGGAGGGCAAAATCCAAGTGGCAACTAAATGAAGGAGGGATTCTGTATCTATTTTTTCAGCCTAGGTGTCATCCCTCCAATCTAAGCATTAGAAGAAATAAAGCACATATTGTCACTTGATAATAGTAGTATCTTATCTCGTCCGGCATTGCTTGCTTGACATTTTTAAAACACATTGTAGGTGATTATAATAGATGCCAATCCAGGTCTTTGTAGAAACTTAAGGGACTTTATCTTTCAATGTACAGTGTCAGTGTTCTTTAGGATTAGTTTTGGAAATCATTCATATAAAAAATAAATAGGATTAAACTCCAATGTGTTTATATTTTTTATGCTCCACAGAAAGCCTTACTTTCATTGTGTCAGCTTTGCCTTTTGTTATTTATTTTAATAGCCTTCATAGTATATAAATCCCTTATTTTTCAAAGGAAAGGGATTATATGAAGAAATTAGTTTTTAAGGCTCATATGAAAACTCAGGGATGTTCTCTAGTGGAATATACTGTATAACAAAATCATCATTTGATATGGATTTGAATATTCATCAAGTTAGCTAATAATAGAGTTTTCCCTTCCTTCTTGCTAAGTTTTCCAGCTGCGGCTTTCTTTCTGTCAATTACATTTTTGCCGCAACTGAAATAGTAAGCTTATCCAATATACCATAACAGAGAGAATTACATCTATCTAGTCTGCTGGATGGATTTTTAAAAATCAATTTAAAAACATGTAGAATCCAGGTTCTTAGTAGTTCAAGGATGAATATAATTATAAGCAAAAGAATCCTACTGCCCTCTTCTGTTTCCATTATTTTAGTTAAACCATTTAAGAAAGAAAGGAATACATGTAGGTGTTGTTATAGTGAAGCTGTATCTTTCCAATTTTCAAAACTATTTGCAAGGATTGTTTTGATCTTCATTCCATTCACTGGCAGAAAACAGGAAGAATTGTTTACTGAAAACATATTTTATTTTAATTGTTTTACTTAAACATTTATAATTCTTCAGCTGCTTTCATTCAAGCCTTTTCACCTCATGTGCTTTGAAAAAAGCTTCAGTTATCTAACAGAAAAAGAAAGATGAGAAGGATTATATTAGAGGAAAAAGTATCTTAAGTAGACTTCTCTTAAGCATTTGATTGATGCTAAATAATTCTAAACATTCAACAATTACTGTATAAAACTTGTAATAAACAATGCTGCAGAAGCTAGAAAAGAAAATAAGCCATTTAGTTTTCACATATTTGTTAAGAGTGAAAAGAGTGTGTGAGAGAGAAATTGGTTCAGTGATGCCAAAAATATATCAGAATAGAAGTTAGTTTGCTATTTTCTCTTGATTTAGAAGTTCTGTAGAAATAAATGAGACTGCCATTAACAACAGAAATTTGTCAACAATAAAAAAATGCTTCAGTGCCTTGAGATGATTCTGCTAATAAACAAGAATGGATTTTTTTCAAAATGTTTATTCAAATGTCTAAATTTGCATTTACCATCAAAATGTTAGTATAAACTTAAAAGTTAATCCCTCCAATAAACTAACTTTCATTACATGAAGGCTGCATTTTATAATCAAGAGAGTAAAACAGTTTTTCATGAAAAAAAACCTGTCTAGAAAAAAAAGAATATACATTTGTGTATTGCAATGTTTTAGAAGAATTAACTTTAACTCACTAATGCTGTGAAGGAAATGAAATGAATTACAGATATAGAATTAAAGAACTTGAAAGGTCATTAACTCCCTATTCAGTGCAGGGATCAAAATTAAATCATCCTCAAGAGATTGTTGTTCAGCCTTTGACCGTATTCACGCAACAAAGAGAAACTCACATTTCCTTGATAAATGAATTAACTGTCCAAATGCTGTTTCCACTAGGACGTTTTTCCTAATATTTGTTTCTATTCTATGTTTCTATTACTTAATAATAATTTTCTGTATCATGCATTGTGGGGTGATAAAGAGAAGAACTTCCTGCATCTTTCTGCACCACCTCCTCCCCTTCTTCTTTTTCCTCCCCCCTCCTCCTTCTGTATATATGATTACACTAGTGGTGGGATTCAAATATGTGAACAATTGGTTCTCTGTGTGGCTGCCACTTCCGAAAGTCCATTCTGGGTCTGGGCAACAAAAAATTAGCTACCGGTTCTGCCAAAGTGGTGTGAACCGGCTGAATCCCACCACTGGATTACACCCAAAATTACATTTGCTTTTTTAGCAGCCACATCACATTCCTGTAATAAGCTTTTATTCTAGTATCCTTTTCACATTTACATTTACCGTATATGCCGCCGTATTAGGCGACCCGGCGTATAAGATGACCCCCGTCTTTATAGCCGGGCCGCATTCCTAGAACGTCGTCTTATACGCCGGAAACTACCAGTATTTCCGGCGTATAAGACGACTCGGCGTATAAGACAACCCCCGTCTTTGGCGCCGATTTCAGCGCTCGCGGAAGTCGTCTTATACGCCGGCATTTACGGTATTTCTTTTTGATAAGTGAACGACTTTGTATTTGTCTGCATTCTTTTATCTTTTCAAATCTTATCAATATCATTTTGGATTTTGTTTTACTTGTATATGAAATGTGACAATATTTAAATATTTATTTAATTTAAATCATAATGATAATTCTATAGCACCTCACTCAATACATATTTGCTGACACATTGAGGAATACTCTTCAAGTTCAATTTTTAGTTTAATGAACCTGCTATCTTGTCCATATTTAACTAGCTTGCTAATTAGAATTTCATGGGCCTTTTTATCACTTTCCCAATGTCAAGATGTACATGCATTGTGATTTTTTTCTACAATCTTTCAAGATATTGATAATCATAATTAGTGGTTTCTATTTCACCAAATTCTTTCTGCCATATCTTTCAAAGATAGGAATAAAACATGTCCTCATCAAACCATTTGATACTTTACCTATTCTTCATGATTTCTCACAGTGAATGGACTGAAGTTTGGATAGACCATCAGCAAGTTTTTCAGTTCTTTTTTCTTAGTTGGATGGTTGCTAATTTAACCCCTTTTAACAGGAATACAGGTATTAATTGTCAGTGTATATAGAAAATTAATAGACTAACCAAGAGAATAATGGATTAATGCAGAGGTATGACTAAACACGTATTATGAATGATCAGTTTCACTTAGTCAAATTTAGTCAAAATGGATATTTAAAAAAACATAAACATCTACACATTTATTAATCTTCTGAACAAATTTGTTTAAAATTGTTTAGGTTATAAACAATATTCCATATTTTAATTAAAGAATTCAAATTAAAATAATGGAAGTTATGTGCTTTTGTATATATATATATGTAGCTCCCCAAAGTTTTATACACAATTTAATTATATACACAGTTCCATAGGAATTATATTTAACTACTAGTTAATATAACAAATCATATGTGATAAATAAGCTTCCCTTGATTATATTACTTCATTAACTTCTCCTTTGTTATAATTTGTTTATAGAAATCATTAATTTTGCCACCTGTGTTCTTGGCAATTCTCATAAAAGTCTGAACAATATAAACAGAAAAAGAATAATGGAAGGGGAATAGGGATTGTTCTTTAGAATCCTCACATGTGTTATTTTGTTCTAATAATGTATGATTTATATATGCTGCTGACTATTTGGATTGATGTATTCTTTGTGGATTAAATATAACTCATTGTGGTAATGTAATTTCAATGTTACTGAGTATTGGCTAAGCAAATTTAGATTGTATATCACTTTAAAATGAAACACACATTCCCAAAGGATTCCTATGCATTTTTTAAAAATAATATGGGCTGCTTGTGGGGATTTTTTTTAAAAATTTTATTTTATTCTACCTTTATTATTTTTATAAATAACTCAAAGGAGCACATATAGCTAATACTCCTTCTTTCTCCTATTTTCCCCACAACAAACCTTTGAGGTGGATTGGACTGAGAGAGAGGCTGGTTCAAAGTTACCCAGCTGGTTTCTAGCCTGGCCCTAAAACCTAGACCATTTGAATCATTTCTCAGACACTCTCTGAAAAGTTTTGTTTATAAAGAAGAAGCAAATGTTTATAAAATACTGTAACAAGTTACATTTCCTGAAATGTGTCAGTTTAAATGGCAGATGAAACAATAAATAATAGACTATTTCTTTCATAAAAATTCAACAGCTATGGATTGTTAGGGGGAATGTAAGGCTTTTGGTCCTTACAGTATCGGATTCAGTTTGAAGAATTTTTCATTGCCATATTGAAATGATTTGTGTTTTAATCTCTGTGTGTCTTGCTTCTCTGTCTCTCTGTCTCTCTGTCTTACACTTCTGTAGTGTACCTGCTATGTAGTATTTTTATGGTAGGGCAAAAATCTTCTGTTCCTTTTATTGCATGTATTTTTATGTTTCTTTCTATGTTTGGAAGATTACTGAGATTCATATTTTTTCCTAGGATTATAGGTATAGGTATGATATGATGTAGAAGATGGATATATTTCTTCTTTGAATAACAAATCTTCTGGTCATTGAAGCCAACAAATCTGCTTTTTACCTGAGCCAGGGTTGTATTACTTTATGGTACCATATCAGTTTCTTTGGTTACTTGAGATGAAAATATACTGTAGCAACAGCCAATGCTGGAGAGTTTATAAGCAATTTAATGCCAGACAAGTAGTAGAAATTTCCCTCTTGCTGTTTATGTATAAATATGCCCTAAATGTTTGTCCTAAATGCAAGTCCTAAAGATGCTTACAAGACAGAGAGGGTGAATTGACATCCCCTTTTGGAATAATCAGTGAAAATGCAGAGGTAAAAGTATTTTAGAAAATAAGAATTTTAGATTGATCATTAGTCTGCATTATTATTAGTATTATTAGCATTAATTGAGAAAATAAGTTACTATCTTTTATTTGTTAGTGAAAACAGAATAAGTAGCATATACAAGAATAAAGCTGCAGACCCTATGATTCATTAGGATTTTTTAATATTTAGGATTTTCAAATTATGTATTGCCCTAGTCCTCAGTACTCTTCAATAATCAGAGTTGTGCATTTTTGTATTGAGCAGGCATAACTTCTAATGCTATATGGATTTTTATATAGCTCTACCACATGGGTGTCAAACTCATGATGTCACATGACATGTTGCAACATATCGTGACTTTTTTCCCATTGCCGGCAATGAGGTGGGTGCAGTTTTGGTGTGACATATCCAATCCGCAGGCCAGCAGTTGACACCCCTGCTACCACATATCAGATTTTTTTATATTCAACTTTCTCTAAAGCGTTTGCCTCTAATCCTTTTTAAATATAACTGATTTCATACATAGATATTACAAATATCTATAGTTTTATAAAGTTCAACTAACAATGGCATATGGTAATAGATTTCATTGCTGTTGATAAAACAGCTTTGCTGACATTGTAGAAAGAAAATTCCTAATTCAGAACATTAAAATACATGATTTCTAATCCAATCCAGGGAGGGTCATATGTTAATTTTTAAATAAGAGGTAGGTAACATTCAGAAAGTTATATTAAAATACGTCCTGAAGATTTTGTGTTGAATTTGTAGTAGATAATTGAGACAAATTGTATCTGACTCCCTTTTCTCCTCCTCTTTTTTTTTCCAGTGGTTCTTCAGGTGTGCAGTCTTGTCCTTTACCCAATCAAGTTCATTGAGACTGTCAACTTAAGAATATACCATGAGTTCAACTGGGGCTATGGCCTGGCTTGGGGTGCAACTATATTTTCATTTGGGGGTGCCATACTTTATTGTCTGAACCCTAAGAACTATGAAGACTACTATTAAAGGAAACTTCTTCTTTTGTAAGGAAAGGAATAAAACAAGGATTGTCCTGTCTTTTATAAGTGTTTTTAGTACTTTTGTAGAGTGCCAAGCTGTCTACTCTATTGATTTATTAGCCATTACTTTTTGACTATAACTACTGCAAATAGCTTTTTAACATCTCTTTAAAAAACCTGATAAATTACACCTGCTACATCTGTAGTGAAATGAAAAAAAGTGGCAGCTACAGTAAGGAAGGTAATGGATATGAGAAAAAACAGCTGTATTTGTTATAGTCTACTAGCACAAAAATTGTGCAATTGCCTCTATATATCATACATGATGATATATGCTGAAATATGCTGAATCTTACCAACTTAGGCTCCTGTCTTGTATTGGTCCTGGGACTCTTACACAAAATAAATGACTGGATCTGAGAGAAGACAATTCAACCAATAAGAACATGATTCAGCAGTTCTCAAACAAGATGAGTTTGTACATTTTCCAGCCAGCTGTGGTATGTCAACAAGTCAAAACTTAGAACATATTCTTCAAATTATGTGGTTGGACATTCAGTCTCAGCTGTAGCCAGGTTCTAGAAATAAGGTGGAGAATGACACAAATCTACTGAGAATTTTTAAAGGTGGGGGGAGTGGGGAAAATATGCATGAGCTATTTTTATCTTGATGCCATTTCATTTCTAAGCACCACAGTAAAGTTTTCATGAGCAGTGTTTGAAAATGCTTTATAGAAGGCCATTATTGATATCTCTGTAATTATAGAACTATGGAGATAGAACCTGAGATCCTAAGCCAGGGGTCTTCAATCTTGCCCCTATTATGACTTCTGGACTTCAATTCCCAGAATTCCTCAGCCAGTAATGCTGGCTGAGGAATTCTGGGAGTTGAAGTCCACAAATCTTAAAGTTGCCAAGTTTGAAGACCCCTGTCCTAAGCTAATGGTAGAGTGCAGGCACAGAAGCTCTTAAATGTCTGTGAGCTTATAAGAGTTTTCTGCAACTATTGGTTAGGCTTAAAATAATTAAAATTAATATAGCTAGACTACCATTTGAAGTGTCGGCAAATAAGTGCTTGAAATGGGATGAGATATCTTCGTCATCATTGTCATCACAATAAATCATGGATTATTATGTGGCAAATGAGACACAATGGATTTCAGGTATGCATGGTACCAGGTTCCCGTGTTTTCCTCTGGCATGATTATATAAGGGGAGATACATGGAGATTTTTTTTCCTAAGACTAATTGCAGCTTCCTATTTTAACGAAACTTGATAAATTGTGATAAATTTTAACAATTAGCCAATTTAAAACTATGGATTCTGAAACTAGCTTTTGCAAACAAGTCTTAGTTAATATTAACTACATTTTTCAACAGTAAACATTTAATTTAGAGAAGTGTGACATTACTTTGGCTTTAAGTAAAAGGTTCTAATATATTTCTCTGAGCAACACTGTAGGAAGTTTGAGATGTCTGTAAGATTCTAAGACTCTCACATAGCTAAGCTCTTAAGATGATAAATAATAGTTTGCCACAACATCTAATGCTGCCAGTGTGTTTGTTTGCCATAAATATGAAGATAAAAACAAACATTTTAAAATGGAAACATCTATAAAAATCAAGGCAATATTAATATAAATATATGTATACTTTTTTGAGAGCAGTTGTTAATCCAACAAGATATTGTCAGCCTTTAATGATACATTTTGTAACACATATGACCAGGGCTGTAAAGCCATACCAATAAATATATTTCATTAAGGAGTGGGGGAAAATATTACTATTAAACTCACTTGAAGTAAAATTAGAAAAAAAGAAATATAACACAGTTTAGACATTCTAATTAAAAAAAGTGCTAATGTGACAAATCATTCTTTGGATACATATGATTTTTTTTTAAAAAAAGAAATGAAGCAACTATATTTTTTCCATAGGGATTACCAGGGATATATTATGAAAATTATAAATTATTGTAACAATTAATATACAAATTATACTTTTTTTTCCTCCAGATATAAAGGACTAGATGAGAGTTCTTTGCAATTATCATTGCTTACTTAATTTATTTCCTGTTCAAATTTTTCAATATAAAGACATACATATATATATATATATTGTGACCAAAGTTAATTTGGGATGGGAAATTGAAATTGATTTACCCAGGATAACATTTATTTTTGTTTAGAAATGTCTTATTTGGATATTTTTCAATTCTGAAAATATTTTTATACAATGTATACGGTTCTAATACAAATTTAAAAACAATTATTTTTGTTACATGTAAATTAGAATGTACCCTACTCTGACTCTCCTTTAAAACATAATACTTAAAACAATGGAAATGCTGCTCTGTGTTACTGCTCTGTAATGCAGAATTTCTTAATTTGAAAACCTCAAAGTACGGTAATAGACAATTATTACAAATGACAGAAAGAAAAATGGAGTGTCCTACAAAACATAAATCTATTAATAAATATGTTTAAATATATAATTATTAACAAACACTTGTGTTTTTTAAAATAAGATCTGGACTATGATTTTTGCCCTAGACTAGAACTCTTTTATGCCTTACACTTTCTGGGCAATCTCCACTCATCTACCCTATATTACTGAAGCTTTAAAAAATATTGCTTTATATCCAGGTAGAAGGAAGTAACAGCCTGCATATTCAGGAGCAGGAATGACTCCCATGCCTTTGTACTCCATATTAAAGAAATCATTGGTGTTATCTGCTCTCATTTATCCTCCACCCTAAAACTTATGCTAATTGGGCTGGTAAGTAGCTGAGAAACAAAAGGAATATTTCATTGGAATTCCATTTTGGAACCATTGGAACCATTGTAGAGAATGTTAAGAAGTAAAGGGTGAATTGCTCAATGTTTTCCATATGTGGCAAAATGTATTTAGCAGATTGAAAACCAAAATGAGCCAACTTCCCAGTGACGAAGGTTAAAGAAACCAAAGTACTATGAAGACGTTATGTGTAATAGTAGTCCACTATTAGAAGAGAAGTAATGGCATTCCAGGATTGTAAAGATGATTGCATGCAATTTGAAATAGAAGTCAATATTTATTTCCATGTTGGTTAACCTTTTCCAGAAGTGGATATGTCTTAGCCCACACAGCAAGCTAGAGCCATTTTAATGCACATTTCTGAAATTCCTGAATGATAATGGAAAAAGACCCGGGTTCATTTACTGGCAGAATTCCCTGAAAATAATGGAAAAGAAAACCTCTTGACAACTTGGAGACTTACTCCCAGAACTGATAATGCTAGGCTAAGTAGATCAAGGGTCTGATGTGATATCATGCAGCTTTGGTTTCTTTATGTACAGCCACCTTTGAGTGCATATCATTTTGTTTTTAACTTTCTAATCTATGTGGATGTCACAGATGTCTTGGGTTTTTTTTTCACCAATGCTATTGCCTAGGAATCTTGCACACTTTTAGATAAGATCGGCATTGGAATAAAATAGAAATGACATTTACTGAATGCATTTAACTAATTAGATCAGAGGGAATGTATGCAGATAAAAACAGGTTGATGGATAAATTATTCTTCAGTTTAGGGATAGTTTTGCTAGATCACATTTCCAGGATAATAAATTGGAAAAGGGCATTTAGGACATAGAATCCACCCTTTGCTCAGTACATGAATCCATGTTTCTATACAATTCCTGTGTAATGAATCTTTAGAATGGTACATCATAACATTGTAATTTCATAATTGCATCTGTTCAGTTGATCCCCAAATATCCCTGCTTAGTTCAGCAAGTGTTAAAGTCAGCTTTTGTATTTCCCTGGTTCAACCAAATGAAATAACAAATTCTAAGAACATTTATATGAATGAAGCATCTATCTAGATCACTGTTTCTCAACCTTGTCCACTTTAAGATGTATGAATTTCATTTTTTTTTAATTCCCCAGCATTTGTTGGGAGTTGAAGTCCACACACCTTAAAATGGCCAAGGTTGACAAACACTGATCTAGAGCTTTAAAGCAGTGGTATCTTCCAAATGCTTAGCCTGGCCACTTTAAAGACTTTATTAAATTCCCTCCATATATCTTGAATGTACACTATTTCACTTCATTAGTAATACCAATGAAGTATTGCCTCTACAATATCACACACAGATAATAGGCTATATAACACTTCCAGAAAACATTGTCTATCACATTCATTTTCACCAAGGTGCTTCATAAAGTGTTCTTTTCATAATGTACTAAATAACATTATGGTCTATATCTTTGTATGATAAATGATACATGCAGTGGAAATTGTATGTAGAGAAGGTACTGGGTGGGAATACCTAAAAGATTTTTCAATTCCATGGAAATTAATGGTGTACCATTAAATCAGGCTCATATACTTTGATTTACCTGACTCAGGTAAATTTGTAATTTGTAAATTCTTTCATATAATAGTATTTAGCGCTTCTGTTAAATGATGTATTTTAGGATGAGACTCCAAAAATACAGGCCAATTTTAAAAGACAATACAAAAATTCTTTAGGGTTTGTAAAGTCTTACAATTCATATATTATTAGAATTTATAGAAGCAGTTTATCATCTAGATATGACAAAACCCATTAGATTAGCTATAAGAAGCCTTGTAAGATCCTAATTCTTGATTTTAGTTTTTAGTTTATTTTGTTATTGCCTTAAGTTCACATTTTCATGCTCATTTACACCTTTTAAAGACCATTATTTCAAGGATTTAAAAACTAAATATAAGTATGTGCAATGCAGCATAACAAATATCTTTTTCCATCTACTAATTAAACATTTGTCTCTGTGAAAGACTATATTTTGTATATAATTATATTGTATTAAAATGTTGCACTAGCACTTCAATTTCATTTGGTCTCCTGTCACCAATATGAAAATGTCATGTATCACAAATAATTTGCTTTATATTGCACACACAAACATAGACACTTAGCCAAACTTCAGCTAAGGCGAGATATTTATATTTTTTAAGCTTTTAAATATCTATCAAATGCTGACAAATGCACCTTTAGTTTTTGCAAGGTCAGTGTGTAAATTATAAAGATGTAATTAAATAGATTTAAGTGTTAGAAGTAATACATACCGAAGCACACCTGGATTAGCATATACACTACCATATATTATTAACATGCAATGAAATGATTGAAACTAAAATTTAATCTTAAAAATACTAATATAATTCATCTAGACTGTATTTTTGTACAAAATAGTACACACTAATATATTATCCCTTTATGTACTAAATAATACCCAAAATTGTGCCTAGAAATTTTATTTCTTTGTCCCAATAATAAAAACTAAAGTATTCTTCATGCTGTTGATGGAAACTTGTTTAATTAATGTTTTTATAACATATTCCAATATTGTGTTACAGTTACTAAGTGATACATCAATCTTTGGTGTATCTAAGTTATGGAAAGAGATATAGGAGAACTTTTTAAAAAAGCAAAACTTAATGGTGGTATATTTTTTATTTTATTTAGTATTATATTACTATTTCACAACTTTTGTAGCTTACATTAAGTTGTATGTTGAAAAAAATAATAAAACACTGTTAAATGAATGTAATGCATGTTTGCCTTGTGTAAAATTTTTACATCCAGAGTAACAAAACCATCACAAATAATAAAAATCATTTAATGAAAATGATTTGAAATAATGCCAAATGATTTTGAGTTATATTCTAGTGATTGTTTCTTGATCCTCTAAAATTAAAAAAATGTACAAATTCCATTAAAAGATTGTCCAGAAAGCCAAAAGAACATAAAGTAATCACTTTTTGATTTCTATATTTAAGGGTTTAGTTTCTTTCATGAAAAGGCATATGCAAATACTCATATGCACATATGAAGACTGAAGTTCTTGAAAGTAGAAGGGAAGGTCTATAAACATTTTCATTCAGCTGGGTACAGCAGTAGCGTCTGTGAAATAAAAAAGCTTATCTTTTCCATAATTTTAATTCTTATGTAGGGATAAATTCCTACATGATTATCTGCTTCATTAGTAATTATGCCTCCTCGGCCATTTGTGAATGGAGTTGTGCAAGGAGATGTTTAGCTGAGTATTATGCTTAAACTCTTGCTTAAAAAATTGTTATATCTCATAACAATTTGTGAATATGTGTATGAATACTTATTTGGATTTCTTTCATCCTCCATTTTTGACATTAGGATTAAGGGCCTTAAAAGCTTAAATTGGCTTAGGACAGGGGTAGGCAACCTTGGCTCTTTTATGACTCGTGGACTTCAATTCCCAGAATTCCTGAGCCAGCATGGAAGTTGAAGTCCACAAGTCATAAAAGAGCCAAGGTTGTCTCCCCTGGCTTAGGAGCTCTTAAGTGGTCCTGCAAGTCTCATAGAACTGAATTCTAAGAGGAGTTTAATTATTATTTGACAGCCCATGACTCATTGGCACATTGTTTCAGTGATAATTTGTTCTTACACCCCCCACACACCTTCTGCATAATTCTGCATATGTCCTCAGGCTCTCCCCACACAACTGCCTGCTGTCCTGCAAATTCTACTTCCTGCAGGCTTCCCATTGACTTTCCTGGTGGAAAGCTGTCAGAGAATATTGGAAATCATGACCACATGATCACAGAAGTATGGTGATGCTGAAGTGTTCACAAGTTTGCCTAATGTTTTAATCCAACAGGAGTCATGGGTCACAGTTGTTGGATGCAATCTGAAAGTTAGCCCATTTTGGGTACTGTGATTCAAAAATTGTTACCCAATGATGTACAGTATCACCCAGCTGAAGGTTACTAATAATCAAAGTTCAAGAGTTGCTAGTAGTGTATAGATTTCAACATAACAGAATCAGCAAGTGTCAGTGTGGAAATATAGTACTTGATGCCATATTTTCAGTCTATACCACATGACTCCATTAAAGCAATCAATCAATCCCTGAAAGTTTCAGTGAATAGACACTTAGGTTACCATTTACACACAGATAAAGACTATATTTCCCATTGATTGCTTGTAATGGAAGAATATTCAAGAACTGAAAGGCATCATACAAATCAAATATCAATTCTCATGGAAAGTTTTATGAAACATATACAAAATCATTTCCATTTAAGTGCCATCTTGATAATAAGGCACTTGAATATGAAAATGGTTTTGCACAGATTTTTAAAAAACATTTTGGCAGATTAAATTATATGTTATTTCTTCTCTGTCTTATTATTAGGTGAGCTTCAGCCAAAATTGAATATTGTAGAATAAACAGGCTTTTTTTTTTTGTCATAGAACGCCCAGAACGGAGTTCCAGCACCTTTTTGGGATGGAACCTTGTAGGGTAGGCAAGGTGGGTTGTATGACGTGTGTGAGTTCTGGCACCTTTTTGTTTTTTTTACAAAAAAATCACTGGGAATAAATATTATTATTTTTCACTGTTGATTCTAATTCTCTACTACCATTACACAGCTAAGTTTTTATAAGTTTCTATATTCTGACAGAATAAAGTAATTAAATTTTCCTTATGGGAAAACAAGTTTTTCTAAAAAGCCTATGTTCTTCTCAGAAATAATACCTAAATAAACACAAGCAAGCTTTATATTTCTCAAAATAAAAAGTTCTGTATTCCTGCTACGATGAAAAATAGCTTTGATTCAACAGCTCATGCTTTTTATTTACTTATTCACTTAATAGATTTATGTGCAACTTTCTTCTAGGGCTCGACATACTTCTTCAATTTGCCTTCAAAAATATAGGATGGCGGGGGGGTAAGAGAAAATAACCAGCTTTATATATAATGATCTTGATCATCCCATCATTTACATGTTAATATAAATTCATAACAGGGAGGGAGGGGAGTTTCACCCTGAATAGTGGTTGAGCCTCTGAGATCCCCAAAGGAGTTTCTTTTGTGGTGAAAGGAGTGCTCCCACAGAGTTCAGGGTGTCTCCGCTTCTCAGGTGCCTTTGTCCCTTGTTGTTTGGGACAAAGCAAGACGCCGCTCCCACCTCCGCGCTTAAAGAGAACTTGTGAGTTATTTAAAAAGCGGACAGAGCTGATTAGAGGATTTTATTTTTTGATTTTACTTGGATTTTAAGTTTGGATTTCAAGTTTAAAGAGTTACTTTCATTTTCTTTTTTTTTCTTTGTTGAGAGGGAAAGTAAAATGGCGATTTGAAGTTTTTTCTTTTAAGGAGACAGAATGGATTTTGTCTATTTAATTATTTTTTTTCTCTTCCTATTTTTCTTTTTCTTATTACAATGATTTTTTTGAAGGAGGATTTGGGTTTTTTGAGTTAATCTCCCTCTCTTTTTTTCTTTTTTTTTTGGGTATTTTTTAAGAAGGAGGAAAGAGGAAAATATTTTTTTTTCTTTTTCTTTTCTACAATTCCTAAGGTGGTTTCTTCTTCGGTGATATTACCAGTGCAATAACCTAAATCAACATTATTACCCTCTTCTTCTGCACAGTCACTAACGGTAAAAGATTTGCAAGATGTAATGGGAAATGCTATATCTCAAATTAGGGGAGAAGTGAAAGAGATTTTAGTGGAAAATAACAGGATCTTGAGGCAAGATATAGTTTTGGCTTTAAAAGGACTTGCCTCTGTTGTTGAAAAGTTGGATTTTCGTGTTGAAGAAGTTGAAGATAAAGTGGAGGTCTTGGAGGGAAAATTTGATGGCATGGAAAAAAAGATGGAAAATTTTCAAGATGAGATTCTTATGTTTCAATATAGAGAGATGGAATTCGCTTTAAGAATCAGAGGCTTGAGTGAACATCTGCAAGGAGATCTGAGAGAGATGGTTGTAAATGATTTTGCTGTGATTTTGAATAGAGAAAAAGAGGAAATACTCAGAGAAATTGAAAAAATATTTAGAGTTAACTCTTGGGTTGCAAAGCAAAGAAATCTGCCAAGAGATGTGGTAATTTACTTTGGGAAAAGATCCCTACGCAATGAAATTATACAAGTTTTTTACAATAAGAAGTTTCAGATTGCAGCACAAGATGTTATAATTTTAAAGGAGATTCCATCTAAAATTTTAAGAAGAAGAAAGGAGTTTGCTTTTTTAGCAGATGAACTTAAAAAGAGGCAGATGCCGTTCAGATGGGATATCCCGATTGGAATAGTGGTGAGCTATGCGGGGACACGTTATAGACTTAATACTGTTTTTAAAGCAAAGGAGTTTTATACTTCGGTCCTGGAAGCATGCTCATCGTCACCTATAACGTTTAAAGTCTTGGAAGAGAAGAAGGTAGAATTGCAGTCTGAAGAAGCTGTATTGATGAAAGTTGGAAAATCACAGACTGAGGTGATGAAGGAGCAGAGAATGACTCGGGCAGCATATAAACGCAAGGAAGAGGAACAACAGAAGAAGGAGGTTAAGGATGTTTTACAAGAATTTGTTTCTGAGTCTGTGGGAGAAGCAAGACCTAAGAATTCTTTGGCGCAATCTTCAATGGTAGATCTTCAAGCAGTTTTTTCGAGGTTATTGATTAAGAGAGATGGGTAAAGAATGTACAGATTGCTTCAAGGTTATTGACAGATTATGGAGAATGAAAACTTTAGATAAGAAGTGTATGTTTAGAAATTTAAGGAGCATTTAAAGGAATATTTTGTTTTAAATATGTATAAGGGAATTTCAATGGTACAATTAATGTTTATATGCGTATTTTGGATTGTGATGACAAAGAAAGAGGGATAAATTTATGTATGATATTAGGGAGATTGAATGAAAATTTTAGATAAGTAGTGCATGCTTAGAAATTTAAGGAGCATTTAAAGGAATATTTTGTTTTAAATATGTATAAGGGAATTTTAATGGTACAAACAATGTTTATATGTGTGTTTTTGATGGTGATAATAAAGAAAGATGGATAAATTTTATATAATATAGGTATGATATTAGAAAATATTGTTTAGCTTTTTGAATAATTTATACTTAATATTTATAATATTTTAATGGTGGATTAGATTCTAACTAATTCACTTTATATGCAATATGATATTTTGTAATGTTATTAAGTTAGAGAGATGATTGGTTTATTAATTGTGAAAGAAACGGAAGTTTTGAATTATAGATATGGATAAATTTTATACAATATAAGTATGATATAAGAGAATACCACCTAGTTTTTGAATAATTTACGTTTAATTTTCCTCTTTCTGTTCTTTATATATAATGGAGTTAAAGTATTTTACAATTTGTTTACTGACTGTAACTATATTTGTTTAAGGTTTATTTGGATTTAAAAAAATTTTTTTTTCTTTTTTTTCTTTTAAGTTCTAGTTAAGCCTGTATTCATCTCTGGGAAGATTGGGGGAGGGTTTTGGGGTGGGTTGGGAGGGACTGGGGAAGGGGATTTTACTGTAAAAATTTTAAAAATTTTCAATTAATATATATATATATAAATTCGTAACGATATAGTTATGAAGATAGTTATATACTGCATGTAAGCATTACAAGTATAGCTTGTTGATATATTGCAGGACATTGCACTACTAAACTAAACTAAATAATATTACCACATTACTATTATTGTTATTGCTATTATTATTTCATAATCTTAAATTTGTTTTTTAATCTATCATTGCTATGGGCAAGAATTC